CTTCTTGGAGGACATAGTCTTATACCTTTCTTCTGCCGCTACAGAGACAAATTTTTTGGAGTGTGGAGACACAGAGCTTTTCTTGAATTCAGGGTACCTTCGGTCACGGTTCAGGACAACCTTCCGATGTGCTTCGTAACGGAGAAGGAATGGTGGAACCGGATCCTCGGTGTCATCAGAGATTTGAGAAACTGTGTGCTTTGCATGTCTATGTTTAGAGGTCTTGGTGGTTCCAGTCGGCGGAACTCCTGAATCTGACTCCCCACTGCCTTCTGCAGTGGTAACATGAGCACAAACCTTTCCTTGGGTGCGAGTATGAAGACGATGTGCAATAATTCCTTTCACTACCTCCGCTTTGATGGCTGCTGATGATTTCCCCTTCTTCGCTTTACCTGCCTTTCCCATTGGAGCAGGCCTCTTATTTTTAGTGGGAGTTGGTTCTTACACAATTTGAGGTTCATCCTCCGAAGACACAAACATTGTTGTAAAACGTAGTAAGAAGGAATTTGACCAAGAAGATGCAACAGAGAAGAATGTGGGACGATTTCTTTGAGAGAAGAAGGAAAGCGAAAAATTAGGATTAGAAAAGAGTAAAGTAAAACCACAGATCTGGAGTGGATGGTTTAGTGAAAGGAAGGAGATGATTGAGTCCGCTTTCCTCGGTTTTGACGAAAAAGCATAGTAACTGCCTTTTATCTTCCCTTCTTCTCTTATCAAAATCGCTCGGTCCAAGTCCAGTAACTTCTTTTGATCGAGATAACAGTGGGCCTAGTTTTCTTTTCACGAGAGTGAGGCTATCAACACGCAACAACCACATTGTAAGACAAAAATAGCCTAAGCCACCCTTAGTGCAGGGTATAACACATAGATTTTTTAAGCCACCCTTAGTGCAGGGTATAACACATACTCACCCTACTTTCAAGAGACGACAGATAGCCCTATTTACTGTGGGAGTCTCTAAACAGACATAAGGCCACAACTTTCTAAGTAAGGAATTGGACAAGAGCGATACCCAGCACAACTCTTAGTTGTAATCCATGGTCATGAGTTACCACACATCTGGATCAGAGTAGCACGCAGAAGTCATTTGAAACAAATGAAACTGATCAACCTACCAGTCCACTATGGTAGCTATTTCTCAGAGAGTAGCTTTCACCAACAGTGATTGATTCATACTAGCATTCACATTATCATTCAAGTTCAGATTTTTGAGAAAAGACAAACATAGATTCCCAACTTCAGATTTTGTTTGACACAGAGACACCAAGTGGTAAGAACAAATGTTTTAGGACTTTTCTCACCCTTTGTATGAGGTTTTGTTTTGAACACAGAAGAGACTAGGACGTTTCTCCTACTCTTCTGTTTGAATAGAGATACCAAATGGTGAGGACAAAAGTTTTTTTTTTAGGACTTTTCTCCCCCTTTGTATGAATTTTTTTTTCTTTTTTTTGACCACAGAAGAGACTATGATTTTTCTCCGACTCTTCTGTTTAAAAGATCATGGAACTTTTTCTTCCCCCTTTTTTTTTGTTATACAAACCCCCAGATCAAGTGATTGATCACAGAACAGAATAACGTGATGAAGGATGATAAGGGAAACTGAACAAAAATGATAAGCAGCTCTTTTTCTGAAATAACATACCGATATGAGGTTTTAAGGGGTGATATAGAGCAGTGGACACAAAATACACATGCTATATCCAATCCCAGAGGATGGATCACCCTACCTGTTGAGCCACAACAGAAGATTAGTGTTTGCTGAGAACACGAGTATTGTGTTGCTCAGAAAAACGTTTTACACTTGACTTTCCAAGCCCCTCATTTTTGACCGAGTGGGTAAACCTAATGACAGATTTTTTATTATCGTAGTATTTAATTGTTACCTNTTTTGGAAGACAAGTAAATGATAGATCATACCAGAACCGGTTAATAGGGGTGATTATCTCATCATTGGTTCGTAGAAGAGTAGTAATACTAAGTGCATCATGTTGATCCTTGTAGTGACACAAGCGTTCTTGATGTGGGACAACTTGGAGTAGTTTATGTCCTATGTTTCTCCTGAATTTTACAGTAAAGAGAGCATTCGTGTTAGTCAGAAGAGTACTGAATTTAGAAGTCATACCCTGAGATTTTCTTGGTGAGGATTGACGAGGTTGAGACCACATTAAGTTGTTGTTAAGACTCTTTAATTCCTTGAGGCCATTCGTCAACTAGTTACATGTGTAGAGTGTGGCATGACACACTTTTGTTTCAGAACGGGTCTGTGCTGAATCAGACACCTTTTACGTTTCTCTTTGGG